ATTTGCAAAATTATTTAGTTAGAAATATCAAACACAAAAACTCTACAAGAATCTGATTTTAAAAAGATGCTTGAGTTCCTGAATGACAATATCTATGTGGCTTTTGAAGAGATCTTTTTTCCCATGGGTACACAATTGTGCACCTTAGCTGCATTTTTATGTACTCATATGAAGATATTCCAAAATCTAAGACATGAAAGGATTTTATATATTTCCTATGGGTTTCAACCCGACATTTATAGATATATCTATAACACATTGTCAATTAACAATTGTTATATATTGAGATAATGAAGAGTATTAGAGTCCTGACACATCTGTTTCATATTTGGATATTTTACTAGAAAAAAAATGTCAAAGGTAATCTAACAACCAAGCTTTATGATAAACTTGATGACTCTAACTTTTCAATCGTTAACTTCCTTAACTTATGTAATAAATTTAACATATTCACCTGCATTCAAGGTTGTCTCTCAGTTGATGCGCAATAGCATACTCTACGTATTAGCAATTTCTAAAACGAGGTAAATCATTGACAAATAAGTTCATGCAGAACGAATATCAGCAGTCTCGTTGACAGTGATCATTTCATAAGTTCTTTGGTCGATACAATGACCTTGTAAGAAAATGCAAATCGTTGGTACCTCTGTGTTTTGAAAATCTATAAACAATTTTGTATTGTTTTAATCCGACTTTGATATTGAATAGTTTGCGTAAAAAATAATTAAAAAATCCTTATTTCCTCCAATAGACACAAAATCAGAAAAAATATTGAAAGTAGGCCTTTAAGACCCCCCCCCCCCAAAAAAAAAAGATAAGAAAAAATCAAATCAACTGGTAATTTAGGGGGCCTACTCAAAATGAAATTTAGGGTAGGGTAGAACAATATTTGAGATATATAAGATACAAAGGGAGCCAAAATGTGTTTATTATATTGCATGTAATACAAGTATCGTCGTTGGTTTTGATTCAAAGTTGTTTACATCATTTGACCCCCGGGGGCAAGCAAGCGGGAAACAACTGTGATTTACTTTTACAACTGCAAGCTAATTTTTACTTTATTTTCAATTAATTAGATTAATTGTTCTGCATCTTTATCTTGTGTAGGTCTCATTAAAAAGAGAAATTGTATCGCCACACACAGCTTGATGAGGTGCATGGAATGTCATGTTTGGACACTTGATTTGACAAGCAGTCTACTGCAGCTACTAAAGAAAAATATTATTTTATAAAATAGATTTGCAAGAATTTTTTTTTCGACAGAATCAGTCTTGCTGCTACATATGATATTATGAATTTAAAAAAACCACATTCTTTCAAATAATATATATTGAGGTAATGAACAGTATTCAAGTCATACAAATCAACAGCGGAGAAAACGCGGACCTCTAAATAAACCTTTACATTGCCTAGTATTGACTATTTTAATAGATACAATCCTCCATAAAAATTAAAGATGAATAAACGTTGGTAATGTCTTGAAAATCTATAAACAATAAAAATCCGTGAAGAGGGCGTAATTACAGCATTATTGGGTACGTCATTACTGGTGACGTAAATGAAATTTAAAATACAATGTAATCTATTTAATGGGCGGAGATTAACCCCCTTCCCCGCAATCACGCATTTTAACGCATATACCATTTCCTTTTTCTAACGCAAATTAACGCATATACCATTTCCTTTTTCTAACGCAAATTAACGCATATACCGTTCCCCGCAATCACGAATTTTCACCCACTTAAAAACTTCATTTAATCATCAATTTAAAAATCCCCTAAAAAATAAGAAAAAATTATTTTCTTATTAAAAAATACATCATAATATTATTTACGCTAAACTTTAGAGAAACCTATACCACGCTATAAAGTGCTTGCGGGGATTGATTGATTGATTGATTGGTTGTATATTGTTTGATGTCCCTCTCGAGAATTTTTCACTCATATAGAGACGCCTGCTTGCGGGGAAATGGTAACGTCATATTTCTATGCCGTGAAAAATAAAGTGTACATGTATGTTGCATAACAATTCAGTAAGTTGTAAAGAGTTAAACTTGTACCTTTTAACAGGTGGCATAATTTGATGAAAATTATGAATCTTTGGAAAATTACGTTTGGCGATTGACGTAATAGAGAGAAAATTACTTTTTCAGATGGATTTTGAAATCTAGCATAAAGTGACTGAGGGGCAATAGGAAAACCATCTTTTCCTTCTCTCTTCGATAATGCCAAAGTAAAACAAGAACTATATACAAGATAACATTGTCAATCTGTACCGATTATAACAAACAAAGCAGCTAAAACACTGTGTTTTCTTCCAAGTCTCCTCATTTTAATTCTATTTTTTTCTTTAATTTAATTTTCCGTTATTTCCTTTGGCCGGGGAACACGGCGGGTCAACAGGGGATGCTCACTCCCCCCATGACACCTGATCCCATCCATGTTTTGGAGGTCCATGTTTGCTCTGCTCCTATGTTGTATTGATTTATGGACTTTTGAGTTTGAATACTATTCATTTTATCCATGTTTCATTTTGTAGATCGGAGATTAGATTTTTCCAATGGTAAATCCAGCTAATATCCATAGATCATTTTCAAAGAGGAGAATCTTAAAAAAAGCATTTTTATTTTAAAAACATTTTAATATTCCCAACAGTTAAATTTAGTTATTTATTACCATACCCGTAATAAATTACTTTTTATATAACTCATATCAAACAAGTTACAAAGATAAAAACTGGGTTCCAGTAAAAGTTCTTCTAAGCCTCTTTCCTTTCTTCTCACTAAGCTATTAACAGCAGTGAAGGAGGAAACTCTGAAGTATATATTAGATATTAAGTAGATCAAACGTTAATACTTACAAACATAGAGGAACAGTTCCAAAATTTCAAATCACAAAATTTTATCAAAAACTTAAACATATAACGTCAAGCTCAAAATAGAATATTACTGAAAAAATGGACCAATAAAAAGGTTAGAAACTTGTAAAGTATAGTTATGGCCTGCAGCTTTTACCTTATATATTAAATCAGAAAAAAAAGCCTGTTAGACGTGCGTATGTTTTACAAAAATTTAAAATGTGTTTTTCCTCCAGATACTATGTCAAGCATACATATTGTCACCCTTTATTTTTCAAGACTCGGGCATTTTTCTTTTGAAGGATTAACTCAACACGCAAGCAAATGTAGGCGAAAAGTCTAATGAATAATTTTGATGTCACTTTTTGTTAAGCCTTTTTCACTCAAATTGAGACGACAAGGACATGTACACTTCAGGTACGGCCCCCGAGAAGCCAGGACTGCAATAAAAGATCTTAATCTGTACGATTTCATTCGGAAAAACGGTATCCTAGTGTCCGTTTTACAAAAGAACTAACGGCCAAGACCACAATTTGATTAATTTTAAGTTTCTAATTTACATTAACTGTAAACGGTTTTAGTCTTCCTGAAAGAAATGTAGTACGATAATTCCACATTGGCAATATCAAACACAATCATTAATTTTGCTTGATTTTACAAACAATTCAAGATTTAGGTTTCAATGGTAATTCTTCTGTAAAATGGACCCCAAGTCTCTTAGAAGGATTCGACAGCGTGAAGCAAAGATCAACTCTCAAGAGCAAACCCGCAAGCCACTACGCCACGGGGGTGACTTTAATAGATGAAAATTGAAAAGATAGTTCATATTCATATTAAAATATCGAAAGTCATAAAATGAATATGAAAATTTATTACTATTACTATAAGACGGAAATTTAATATGTATTTGTTCCTGAAAGAGATTCATAAAAGTAAATTTAATTTTTAATTTTATATGACAGAGAAATTATTCTAATAAATTGATCTTATTTAATCGTTCAATAAACTTGCAATAAAAAGATGCTAAAAAAGTTTTATTTTGAGATGATGTAAATGTTAAAAAAACCTACATAATAATCTTTAGCAAAATAAGATTAAATATTGATGAACCTTAAAATTTGCACCTTCATCAATTAAGAGCAATCCGTACTTTGGAGACCAACAACTACTAATCAGAAGAACATGCGACACTTTGATTAATGATTTTTAAAAAAAAAAAATTAACACATATTGAGACACAAGACATGGGTTTAAGGCCTCTTCCAAACGAGCCGTCCCTGCGTCACACAGTGCATATATTGAGGGTCGGTCTTTCGCATGAGACCGTATTAAAGTACATCAAGAGTCTGGGTTTAATCTTGTAGTATAAACTGGAACCTTTAAATCTCTCTAAAAGATTTATTTATTCCTTTTAGACTCCAACTGACATCCCGTGATAGATGGAAATGAGTTTATTTACTCTACAGAAGACTTGAATCAGGTGCTTGTATGTTACGTAACTTTAAAAGATTACGTAAATTAGAACGCATGTCAAGGAGAAACCTGCCTTTACCGTATTTCTTACACATTTCTAATTATTTTATATATCCGTTGTGTATTTTTAAGAATTATTTATATATTTACATTTATTGCAAAAAAAAAAAAAAAAAAAAACAAAAAAAAAAATTTAAAACTAAATTTTTTCATTGCATCTTTAATTTAATTGTTTTTTTTTTTTAATTGTTTACGAAGCTTTTTTCTCATGTTACTGGAAGATGAAATTGAAGAAAATGAAATTCTTTGTAAACAGAGACTTCATCGGATATTTCTTTCCACGTAATCAATATTAATTGTAACTCTGATGCTAGCGAAAATGATTCTGTAAGAATTGTTGTTGTAATGGATAAGACCGTATGGCTGTGTTAAAACTTTTCTATCCCCTAATCATTTTCAGTTCAAGTATGCTTTTATATATATTCTGTTAATATAAAGGCAAGTTATGCATATAACTATATCTTCAAAATATTAGGTACATTTTTCATATTCTTATATACTCGGTACATGATTATGAGTTATATCAAATGTTAATAAATTCACTTTTTCATCATGAAAAGAATCGAAAATAGTTATTGGATAAAAGAAGGAAAAGATATCAAAACTACAAATATCACTCAACATTTATTATGATACATATCAAATAAACATCAAATAAATTTCGGAATAATAAGCATAAGATAAAACAGATAAATATGAATATAACAATAAATTATATCACAGATATGATTTCAGTATGAATAAATGCAGAGGACTATTCACCAAAAGCATAGGAGAGTCGTTTTATAGCATTTTTGAATAATTCCAGCGTCCTGTAAATCTTTATGCAAAACCGTGCACAGATTCCAATACAAAACAGAAGTCCCTTGGCATTCATTGCCTGATGTGAGTACGAATTACCCACTAGTGTCCACGAAACAAAACTGTCACAGTTATTGTGAAACACTGAGTATTGCCTCTCCCCTAGGCGTCTTTTTGCTCGTTTTACTGCTTCAGATTTTTCTTCCTCTGTCTTGGGGTAAGAGTCAGATGTTATATGATAAACACCGGAACTAAAATCTAAAGTTTCATCACTGTTCGTAACTTCTACCGATTCTTGAATGATCTCGGCAACTCCTTTTAAAAGAATTATCATGGAAATCCTTTTTGGAGCATAGTGAAGAATTGTCAGTTTGTTTTCTGTTGCATCTGTCACCAAGAAGTGGTGATTGTAGCTATAGTCAAATGTCCACCACAGAATACAAAGAGAGCGAGGTCTGTGAATCCTGATATGGGAAGCTGGCCCTATCTCTCCACTTTGTACCAATTGTCGTATTTCAGATGCATCCTTTAAACGTTTTTCAACGCACTTACAATCAGACTTTTTCTCTGTGAATAAAGTTTGCGTCACAAACATATTCAGCATTTTATCCATAATTTAATCAGCACAAAGCAACAACCTGTCACATTGCTGGAACTAAAAGAAATGGTCAACATGTAAACATGTCTTCGCTTTTATAGATCCCGATCTATTCTTAGAATGGTTTTCCCCTTTCTCATGGGAGGCGGGGCTTAATAATGAATTTGATCAATGTGGCATAAGATGTCCGTTGAAAGCAATAATACTGTATATACATGTATCAGATAAAATCGGGTTAACTTTAAAAAACACTGTGCATCACGAAGCAATTAAAGTAATTATTTATACTTTTATCTATAATAGAGCAATAATAGTTAAATTACGACCAGAAAGTGATCACGTGTAATTTTTTAAAAACATTATTTCTGTAGTAGACCAGATTTAATTGAGATTCGGGACAGTAATTTTCCACTGCGTGTAATACATCGTAGTGTGTGTTTGAGTCACAGTCTATGTAACGGGGGAATCCAAAAAAAAAACAACAAAAAAAACAATCTTCTAGAGCAGACATTGAATAAATTAACTGAATGAGGCAGTTAAGATATGTTAAACAGATAGCAGGCTGAAAAGAGCTAGCGGCATTAATGAAATGTGAAGTAAATGGGATCAGAAGTATGATTATATACATTTCAGAAGAAAATATACATCATTTACCATTTTCCTTTGTTGTGTCTGGTCTTTTCCGGTTTGTGTATTTATGTATGTATGCAATAGCTAATGTGTTTTACATGTTGTGTATTAAAACTTTCCTCTGATAGCTCCATCTAACGTAGAGACTTAATGTTAAGCAAATCCTACTCTAATTAAAAAATAGTATAATATATGCTATTATGAAATACTTATTATATACCATTATGCGTCATTATTTGAAGAGTACGAACTAACTGTTAACGACTAGAACTAACAATATTTAAACAAAATTACATCATAAACGGATTGTCGACTTGTCAGGGATGAATTTCAAGTTTGAATTCCATTTGACAAAAAACAGAGTAATGTTTGTAAATGCTATGCAAATACCTCTATATAAGAAACATTCAACATTATTTAATTTTTTTGAAAACAATGATAATTGACCAGGTTATATTCAGTTAATTTATTGCTAAAACATTTTTTTTATAAAATCAATTTCAATGTACAAATATTGTAAGACTTCCCTGACCTTATTATTATAGTTCTTGCATTTGATCTTCACTTAAATTTCACCATATACTCTTAACTGAAATTACGTTTAAAAAGCCTGACAGTTTCTTTAAAAACTAGAAGATTAATTGTGCACCTGTGAAGAATTCATTTCATTTACGTCACATGGACACAAACATTTGGCGAAATAAAGGTAAGGCTAGCAGACTGCTTTTCAACAGAAGTAAATAATTACAAAGTATGTCGGAAAAACCGTAAAGTGTCAACCACAAACAGATTTAGGTATTACTTCTTATTGTAAAATACCATTTAATGCAAATTTGTATGCTGGTAATTAAGGTAATACTAGATCAAGGTGATAACTGAAAACGTCGTGAATAATTATCAACCACATGTTAGAACGGATGAAACATCACTTGTAAAGGCAAAGCATCCCCTTTCACACCCGCCATGCTCCTTGTTATGATGATAAAAAGGAAAAATCGACAGTCAGGTCATAGTGTAATGCCTAGGTCACATTTCCCGGCCGGTAGCCGTAGACCGGTGGTAATCGGTGGTAATCCGTGGTGTTAACGATGCCTAAACCTCGGTCCACATCGGCCTAGTAGTCCTTAAAGAATCAGTCACATTATCCAGCGATAGGTATAAAGGCCGGTTTACACTATGCATCTTGACACATGCATCTAAACACATGCTTCAATTTTGCCTCATGCATCTTCTTATTTACACTATGTGTCTTGATGCATGCATCTTTAGAATACTTTGTAAAGATGAAATTTATCTACTTAAAAAAATAACAATACCTTCAAATTTCATTTCCAGATTTATTTTAGCTGAACAAATCATTCTTAATTTCCTTAATATGATAATTCTTGGAAGATATAATTTATATTTAATCCAAAACAAAATTCTTCTAATATTATAATAATCAGATAAGTTTTTCTAATTGTAGTTTTAATCAGTATTTTCTGTTTTTTTGTATCTCGGGAAGCTATTTTTGAAACTATATGAAAAAAATAAGGCTCATGATTCAATATCAACTCTGACGTTTCTTTTCATTGGTCAGTTCCATGCATCTTGAAGCACGGAATAGAACAAGTTCTATTCCATCGTTCAAGATGCAACACCCATTTAATTTGACACAAGGGGCTTTTACACTGTGAATCTTGACACATGCATCTAAGATGCATGTGTCAAGATGCATAGTGTAAACCGGCCTTAAGATGGGCAACCAATGCGTTTTATGATAAAAATGGCGTGGTTGCCGGCCGGACTTACAAAGGCTCAGCGATGCATTGCTAATCAAAAAACGATGTTCCAGAATAATCGGCCGATGTATATTACTTCGCTCATACATTGGTGAACATCGTTCGACTACGGGCCATTGTTTGGTTGAACATAGACCGATGATCGGCCGTTATCTGTTGAACACCACTCAACCCCCCGATGACCTCAGATTCAACGGATATTGGGCGATGCTCGGCCATACATCGGCCGATCCGTGAAAGATGTGTTAATGATGGGTTACCGATGAGGAGCTATGAGCGGCATCGTTGGAGACATCGCTGATTTTTAACTACGGATTATTTCCTACCGATGACCCCACCGATTCGCAAAATGGCCTTAGTCACCGTCCGATCACTAATGGTGTCCGGGCGGCAACCACGCCATTTTCATCAAAAAACGCATCGGTTTCTCATCGTATACCCCATCGCTGGATAATGTGACTGATACTTAAATAATAGCCTTTAAGTCTGCATGAAAGCGTCAGTCAGCATTTGACTTAATGCTAGTCATTGTATCAACTAAAGAATTTACGAAATAATGACTTTAAACGAGGTTCCCCGGGATCATGAAACATCTTTAGCTTAAGTCCAAATATTTATTTCGTACTAAAATTTGATGAGGTCAAACAGACAAAAAAAAAATTAAAATATTTGTCAATATTGCTTCACAAAAGTGTTTTATGATTCATTTAATAATGAATAAATATTTTACAGGCGTTTAAAAATTTGACTTAAGTCTAAATCTGTATCATGATATTATGATCCCAGCTCTGGATTTTTGCACTGTTTGTTGATCTGTATTATTTGTATATTTTATGTGATTGTGTATACAATGCACACACTCTGATAAAGTGCAAACATTAATACTGCTTTTTTATGATTTATGTCGTCTGATTCAAGATGAATGGCATCAAATGTCTGAATGATTTATATGCCAGTCAGAGATATAATTATATGCTTGCTTTCTAATTAATTTGAAAAAGAATTATTTGAGAGAACGGCTTTTAAGCATTATTCTAGTAGTTAATTCTGAATAAAAACCACCATTTTCTCAAACAATCCCATTTTCGATATTTTGTTAACTATGAAACTCAATGGAACCTTAACTTTTATCGGATTAACTGAGAAAACTTCTCATGATCTATCTAATCTCGTTTTTGTGGTTTTGTTTACTGATCTAATACACCATCTTTGAGGAATTCACATAAACAGGTCTCCCGTGTTTGAGCGTGCAGTTCATAATAACATTTTAAAAACTTCATTGCAAAGATAATACATCAATCACCACAAAAATACATAAATACACATAAATACACATAAATACTCTAACTTTGAGATATCTTGATTTGTATGGACACCAGTTCATGTTATCTAGTGCAGTCCATTAACCTATATTATATTTGTATGGAATGTTTATTAGTTATTTACAATAAACAAAAAAAATGTGCATTGTGGTCTCTTTCCCCATTCATTGCGGTGCATATTTATTGCATATTTTTGTTTTCGCTACAATTCATAAACATAGTGTTTTCCAATGTAAAAATCAACAGAATTATTAAACAATAACTGTAATTCTCAAAGCAATATTGCCTTATCTTATCAGTTATTTTATGTACTAAAGTCTTACGTGAGCCATTACTTTCATGTAATGATTTAAGAAAATGGAAATCTCGGGGAAGAAATTAAATTCTTTCAATATTCATCTGAACGTTAAATTTTCAATTTTTGTAAAACTATTTTGTTAAAACAGTTTAACGATCAATTATGGAGATAACGTATCGTTAACTCAAAGTATATAAAACATCAGAGGTGATATCTGGTGCCATGGAGGAGTGAGCATCCCCTGACGACCGGTTATACCCACCGTGTGCTCCTTATCATGATCGAAAATGGAAATATTAGTAGAAGAATTATTATATAATAAAAATGGCATAACAATAAGCATAGAAAAATGAGAAAAGAACATTTTACACATAAAAACGTACATGTATACCTTTTTTTTTTTTTTACCGGTTTGAATAGTTTAAGGGGGGATAAGACAACGATCAAATGTACAAACTAATAATTTTTGCATAGTATTTTGACAGTTCAAAATTGATAAGAAAATATATTTTTCTCTTATCTTAAAATATATTTAGACATAAAGTAAAAAGTAGGTTTTAAATAAATAGAATTCGGTGATTTTTTTTAACGTTAAACGTGCGGATAACGATAATCCAGTAAAGAAAACAAATTGTTTACACCTCAGGCCTGGGAAAATTAAATCAGAAAAAAAGTATAAAACGCCCCTTTGTCGCCCGGTCACACTCGCCAGAAGAAATTGAAAATATTAACAATTGGACCTTTCTTTCAAGGGTTTTGTGATTTTAGATATTTGATAACACTCCTGCGTCATTTTAAATCATTTCATGTCTCAACTTACAATGCAAAATTATTACTAACTAGTTCATGACATACATGCCCTAATATCACAATGCACCAAAATGATTCGATTGTATCACATTTCAGTAGGTTGTTTTTATGACGCTTTTTCAGTTGTTGCATTAAAAGTCATTTTAAAAATGATTGATACACGAACTACCGGTAAGTAAAGTGTGTTTGTTCTCGCTTTCCCTATAAACACCCGCCTTTCGTCAGTAACCAGACTACCCGCATTGAAGTAGTACATTTGTAAGTCTAAATAGAC